GCCTTATATGGGCCTGTAAGTAAAAATACTAAAATGCTGTCCTTAATCAACTGTTCTGCTAATTTCAGCATATATTTAGAATATTCACAGGAGCTAAATAGTTTATTATATTTCTGCTTATCTACCCCACCCCGAAAATTCTCTGTGAAAGAATTTAGTGAAAGCCTAAAATGCTCAGACACAAATAACCATCCTTGGTTATTGGTACAAAAGGTTTATCTAGTATAGCACATTTAAGCAATCAATAAAGACCATTAGCTCTTTTAATTAAAAACAGACAATAGATGGCCTTCAAGTCAAAACTTCAACAACTTCACTTATCTCCCCAGAGTAGTCATGCTAGACAAAATAGCACTGTAGAAATATGAACAATTGAAAACTCTTTGATTGCCTTTGCTAACGGAGAAATGAACCAGGGAAACACCAACCAGTGCCTGTTTGTCTTCAGGAGATAATCACAGTTGCTAATTTGGCTGCTTCCTTGCTTTCAGTACTGTACAATATTTGCTTCATGCTAGAGCCGTATTGATCTTCCATCACACAACAATTTTTCAATTACTTAGCATGCTGACAAGGAAGCAATGTAACAATGGATGCGGGCAATTAAGCAGTCAACATGGTGTGAGGCATACAATCCATGCCACGTCACTTTTTATAGATAAAGTTATTTGATTAGATACATGTATACAAGTGCAAGTACTTTGGAGCTGAATTATTGAATATTACTTAGAAATTCCCAAACTAGAAAATCATGTGTCCTTTAAGATACTTTCCTAATCTTATTAGTTCTCAGCTACTTCTAAATAAGATAAATACATGTTTATCCAAAAATGACCTAGAAACCTGTGAGTTACGCCCGCTACTTTCACAACAGAAATATTTATTCGAACAGCTTGCATCATCCCTAAAATTTGCCAAAGAAAAAGTGAAATGCTGAAATCTTGTTATCCCTTCACTAGTATGTTCAAAGGGTTGCTAGGGTTCATTAATACCATTTCCGTACTTCTCTGAAACTTTTGTAATGTAAATAGAATGGTTTCATAATCATGTACACATATCACCTGCCTTTTTCAGAAATTAATCCAGAGAAACAAACTCGAGCAACATTCGACCACAAATGGTGCTGAGGACGGCTTTTCCTGCTACCATCTCTACCCTCTTCTCTGATGCCTGACTGCACCTCTCAAATTCTCTGAATATATAAATTTGGGAAATAAAGCACTCTCAATAAAGTATGATTGATTCAGCATAGTAACTATGAACTACATGCACTTCTAAGAGTCAGAAAGAGCAACAGGATGAGAAGTCACGGGAAGTGCTGGAACCTGTCTGGTTTTGCAAGTTGGACATGTCAGCCTGGCTCATTTCCATTCCCTTTCTGAGTAGGATCCCACACTTGCAGTCTGCATTCCTGTTCTCTACAAATAAGTAATCATGGGGCAAATCGGTTCCTATCTTCTTTTGCTCCCAGTCCCAAAACTCTAATAATTCCTCCTCTGTTGTAGCCCTGATATACTTACTCTAATTGAGGACGGGTGATAATAAGCTCCTCAGTCCTGAAGGCTGTGATGACCTTTGGACTAAGAGCAGCTTCCAACTGAGTTGTTCTAGCCATTCTGATCCTACAGTCACATCTGACTTCTTCACACTAGAATCCCTTTCTGGAATGAGGTTGTTCTGAGAAGTGCAAAGATGAAGGGAAGGAGGACTGCACTTGCACATCCCTCCCGCCGTGGGGCCTGGGGATAGATCCTATTCATTTTAAGACACTGGCAAGGGGTAGATGGAGCTGGGAAAAAGTAGAGAGTAAGCGTGGGATGCTGTAGAGAGGGCAGGCAAATATAGATGTGAATTTCCCAGTCACTGTGCTTTTAATATTCCCACAGGAATGTTAATATTACCATGCTGACAGGAAAGCAGTGACGGGGCTTTTTCTAACAGCATGCAGCAAGAAGACAAGGGGAAATGGTTTTAAACTGGAAGAGGGTAGATTTAGACTTGATATCAAGAAGAAATTTTTTACTGGCAAGACACTGGAACAGGTTGCCCAGGTTGTGGATGCCCCTCCCTGGAAGCATTCAAGGCCAGGCTGGATGGACTTTGAGCAACCTGGTCTGGAAGGAGGTGTCCCTGCCTACAGCAGGGGGTTGAAACTAGATCACAGAATCACCAAGGTTGGAAAAGACTTTCAAGATCATCCAGTCCAACCATCCACCTATCACCAATAGTTCTCACTAAACCATGTCCCTCAACACAAAAGCCAAACATTCCTTGAACACCTCCAAGGTCAGTGACTCCACCACCTCCCTGGGCAGCCCATTCCAGTGCCTGACCACTCTTTCAGAAAAGCATTATTTCCTAACGTCCAGCCTAAATCTCCCCTGGCGCAGCTTGAAGCCATTCCCTCTGCTTCTATCACCATTTACATGAGAGAAGAGGCCGACCCCCAGCTCACTACAACCTCCCTTCAGGTAGTTATAGAGAGCAATGAGGTCTCCCCTGAGCCTCCTCTTCTCCAGGCTGAACATTCCCAGCTCCTTCAGCTGCTCCTCATAAGCCCTGTGCTCCAGACCCCTCACCAGCTTCATTGCCCTTCTTTGAACCCGCTCCAGGGCCTCAATGTCTTTCTTGCAGCAAGGGGCCCAAAACTGGACACAGTACTCAAGGTGCAGCCTCACCACAGCTGAGTACAGGGGACAATCACTGCCTGTTCCTGCTGGAACAGCGTTCCTGATGCAAGTCAGGATGCCTTTTCTCCAGAGCTGCTGGGAGAGCTGCTCAGGTACCGGCTCAGCTCACAGCTCAGGCCCTTGGTCCAAGCCTCGTCCTCCACCGTCTCCACTGACACCCTCAGCAACTGTTGGAGAACAGGAGAAGCCAATGTTCCCTTGCCCTTTGTTTCTTCCCGTATTCCCAACTTGCTGCAGCCTTCTGGGGAGAGGTGTCTGGAAAAACAGTCCCCCTCCCAGCTCCCCCCGGTGTTTCTCCTGGAGGGGCTCCTTGAGGCAGGCAAGCCCTTCCCTGTACCGTGCCTCTTAGCAGTGCTGTACCTTTAGCAGTCGGCGCTCCCACGCTGCAGAATCTGGGAAGCTCTCTTCTTTCCCTGCACAGCAATAGGAAGCAAAAGAGCCTTGCTTGGGATCAAGCCACAGAAGAAGAGCTGCTGCAAACCCGGCTTGGCCCAGGCACTCGGCACCGCCAAGCTGGGACCTGCACCCCTCCCCCCGAGTGACCTGGCCCTCCTCACAAACACTGTCCCCGCAGGGACACAGAACTAACTGCTCCAAGACTGCTGTCTGAGGGGATGTGACATGCCCATCTGTGCCCTGGAATGGGCAAATTTCTGGGGGAAAACTCCCCGGGCCTCAGCACTGTCTCCCTGGAATGGGAACAGCAGCAGACCTGCATTTTCACTCCACCCCTTCTCTGCCTCCACCTCTCCCTCTCCACCAGCACTTTACCTTGGACACACTGCAGCAGCAGGGGGATCTCTGCATCCCACATGGCCCTCAGTGCTCTGTGGATCCTGCTGTGGAGCTTTTGCATGAGCACTAAGGCAGCGGCTTGCAGTTCGCTGCCTGCAACAGGGCTCCCTGCCACCACCTGAGCGAGAGCAAGGAGAAGCAGGGTTACTGCTGCAGCAAGAGCGGCGGCGGCTTCCCCCGGGAGGGAAGCAGCTTGGCTCTGCCCTGATGGGCAAGGAGCAGCCAACAGCTTTGCCCATAGCCATGCTGCTTCTTCCTCGGGGCTTGTGGCACTGGCCTCTGGAGCATCTACTCACCAACAGGCGCACCAGCAGTGTCTGGGGAGTCAGCCATGGGCCTGCGGGGAGAAAGAAGTACTGAGTAAGACTCCGAGGCACGCCGTGCCCTGCCACACATCCCTCCGCTGTCCCTTCTGGGTGCTAACACAGGTCAGCAGAGCTCACTGGGGGAGTTCTGCTCCTACCTCGAAACATGGAGCTGAGGAAATGGGGATCCAACTCTTCAATCTCCCGCCTTGTCAGTTCTTCTCTCTCAGCCAGTGCTTGGACACAGCAGGAGACCGGGATCAGCATGCCCGTGTATTGGGCTGGCACCACAAAGAGCAGCAGCCGCGGCCACAGGAGCTGTAGGGAACAAGGCATGTCAGCATTCCTGCCTACGCTCAGAGGTGAACGGGACTCTGTGAATTTCCTTGAGCCTTGTGTGCTGTGTCTTGTGAGCGCGTTGGAGGAGAGACCTGGGGCCTGGGGTGTTGGGACGAGGAACACGTGGTGCAAAGGCAAGGAGCAGCAGCAGGGCAGAATGTGACTTACTTTGGACATCCCTCTCACGGAGACATCCAGTGACCCCAGGATGTCCATGCACAGCTGTTGGAGAGCTCCTTCTTCCTGAGCTTCCTGGGCAGAAAGGTCTCCGGCTGCCTGCACAACAGTATTGTTGAAACAAGGGTTACTCTCAGTTCTCAGCAGCCTCTCAAGAAGTTCAGATGTTGCCCCACCGGTGCTTCTGTGCCAGCCTCTGAGCAGCACAGGTCTCCCAAAAGAAGATGCTGCCCACTGTCCTTACCCTTCTTCCCGTGGCGCGGCTGAACTCTCTGAAGATGTGCCCCACCACATCCCAAGCTGAGCAGCTCCGGGTGTCAGCACTGAGGAGATCCTTGATGAAATACAGAATGGCCCTCCGCACCTGCCAGGGGTCAATTGTGTGTGATTTTCCTGGTTAGAAGGCAAAGGGAAGCCACCTGCTCATCGGGACAGCCCTTTGGGCAGGGGCAGAGAAAACAAGAGCAGAGGAGAAGCCTTGGCTCCTGACGTGAGGGCCAGGCCTTAGCACCAGCGTGCAGTGTGCTTTCCATGCGCAGCACAGGGAACTTCCCACTCCACTTCTCCTGCTCTCCCCACAGAAGCCATTGCGACCATGTGGTTAATGCCCCAGCACCTCCCTGGTCACCTCAGCCCTGCCCGTGTTGGCAGCAGCATCCCCACCCCCACAGCGCTTTCCATTCCCAAACCAGCTCACCCGGAGCCTGAGGTCGCTGCACAGACGCTGCACAGCCTCCGCAGCCAGGGGCAGCTTCTCTGTAACAACGGGCTCTGCAAGAGAAGCACAGAAGCGTGCGTGGAGGCACCACCCAGATGGCAAAAGGGATCCCTGGAAAAGACCCGATCCATGGTACTGACCATCAGAGCGAGCCAGAGCGCCGAGCAGACCCAGGGCTGCCACACATCCAGGCTCCCATTCATTCTCCAGCTGCGACTGAAGAAACAGGATGGTTTCCTCTGGACACATTCGGGCTGCAGGGAGGAAATCCCGCACTGTGTTAGCAAGCAACTCGTGCCCCTTCCTGAGGTCTGCGAGACAGCTTTTGGCCAGGGCACCGCCAAGCACCGCCAAAACTCCTCTCCTTACCCTGCAGCAGGATGCAGTGGGTCAGCTCTGCGCTATCAGCCTCGCTGTGCTGCTTGGTGTCGTCAGAGAGCTGTGGGAGCAAGGTCCATTTGAGAAAATCACAACAGCACTGAGGACGGAAAAGAAGCTGTGCTGCCCAGCTTTCCTCTTCCTTGGCACTCTTGGGAAGAGGACATGCAGACAAAACCCAGCCTGCCCCACAGCATCCCTGGGGGGAGGCAAACACACGGCTCTGCAGCAGCCTTGGGCATGCAGGAGATAGGGCTGAGCAGCCGTCAGAGGCTCAGAGACTTGCAGTCCTCCTGAGACTTAGCCAAGGGGAAAACTGTGTGGGCACAAGGATAGGCTCCCCTTACCTGGTAGAACACAGCACTGGTGATGGCCAGAAACTTGTCCCTGGGGATGACACACTGAACTCCCTCTAAGACCTCCAGGAAGGTAGTGAGGCTCTGCAAGAGACCAGGAGAGGAAGGAAGGGCTGAAGCCACATCTAGCCACTTGGGAGCAGAAAAACTTTTCCCAATGGTTTGTCTGCTGGGAAAAGCTCCTGTACAGGTGTTCTTGTTTGTCCCCCCCTCCCAGCAGCACCAAGAGAGTGCAGTAGACCATGTCTACACTGAGCCCTGCACAGCATCTCACCTTGGCAACCCTGCAGGTGTCTTGGATCTCCTGACATGGGTGCACGAGCCAGAGGAACTGCTCCCAAACTCAGGAGTTGACCAGCTCTCAAAAATCATTGAGCTGTTCTCACAACCCAACCCAACACAATGGCATCCTTCAAATCCAGAAGGTAAATTCCACTACTCATTCCTTAACTTAATAAATGTATGGATTTGCCACCACTGAGTGTATGCATTCAAATGTATACATATATAGTATAGATAGATACATATAGTTGGATTGTATTTGGATTCATACTCATTTAATAACTCAAACTCCAAAAATTATCTATTATTTATTTTGTCCTCATAAAATCACATATCCTCAAAGGGCACTGCTTTACTGGGCTAACTCTTGCTTTTAACTTAACTTCTATTTAGGGCTGCATTTTTGGCTCTGCCAGGTATCCCTGATACCCACACTCCTAAGCATACCTGATTTAAGATTTCTGTAACTTCTGCAGGTACAACCTTGTTTTTCCCAGTTTGTGTTAAAGCCAGACTTACAAGTTTGAATCAGTTAGTACTGTTTGACCGTTAGCTCCAGTTTTATTAAATTTCTTGCCAGAGTAACCTGGCATGTACAAGAATTTATGTATTCCTACTTATTTTCTCAGCCTATATTCAATTGATCCCAAAAACTAAGCCTTTTCTTGTTGGGCAGTAGCTCCTACTACTGTTACAAAATCATCTACAGGTGGTAAGAAGCACTGGTATCCACCAAAAATAAACCTCTCTATCCTGCTCCCCTACCTGCAGTTTAACCTGTGGTTCTGCTAGGATAAACTTCCCAGCTTCCCATCCTTCAGCTTTGCAACCAGAGACAGTTCCCTCTCACTCAGTTTGGTAGGATTTCTCCACTAGTGTCCCATTTCCCTGCAGTCTGCACACTGCTTTCGTTCCAGTGGGGTGGAGCCCTACTGGGGCTCTTCCAGCAACCCCTACCTCTCTCTGAGGGGACCTCTGGGTCCTACGGCCCTATACAACTGCTGCAATAGTAACAGTTGCTGTTATTCACAATTTCCTTACTATCTCTGTTTCACAATCAATCAGCTTTGTTTGTTTTTTTGTTTGTTTGTTTTTTAATTTGTTTGTTTGTTTGTTTCTTCCTATTGCTCACCTCTCTTCGGTCCTGACAACCCTGTTACACCCTGCTCATCTTTGCCTTCCTGTGTCTTTCCCAAACTTTTTCACTTTCCAAACTCTCATCATTACATGAAATACTAACATCATATTTCTGTTTCACCTCCTCCTCTTCAGAGGCTTCCAGTGCTAACACTGGGATTTTGGGTTTCCTAGATCCCTGCAGATGAAGACTATTCTCACTTCCAGTGCCCTATCCTCTCCACCTCCCCCTTTGCAAGTAACACTGTTTACAGCAGCAGTCTCTGACCCGGCTCTCACTCTCACTCCAAGTTCTGCTCACGGGAACAGTGTGGAGGGGTTGCTCTCATGCCAGCACAGATAAACTCACTTTCTCTTTAACCCTTTTTTCCTTTGTACACTGTTCTACTATTCATACCCTCAGTTACCCTTCCACATACCCTCAATTTTACTTCCGTATAACATTAGTGATTACACTTTCTCATACCATCAAAACAGTTTGTTGCATTCCCTTCAAAACCCACAGATCAAACCATACAGTTTTTCAGTTTCCATAAACACCCTTAATACCATATAACTTTCCCCTAACAATCTGTATTGTTCGGTTATAAACACCTTGCCACAGAACCAGCACTGATTGACCCACCTCCCACACATACTTCCTCTGAAGCACAATGTTACATAAATAACTTGACATTCATTCCCCAAATGGAACAAGGATGCATCTCTAGCTGATCTTCAAGGTCCCTTCCAACCCAAACCATTCTACGATTCTATGATCCAGAAATAATAATTCCTTGATCTTATAGCTTCCTTTCCCTCTTGATTTTTAGTTGGGTTTTTCCCCACAAAGATTTTCATTCTTCCTCATGCCTTGGTGTAACTGTAGGTGGCTGAAATGTCTGGGGCATTATATACTGATTTATTTTAGCAATGACTGCTGTGCAGATGATTCCACATAATCAACAATGTTAAGAAGTCAGCATGCAAAATGGTGTTAGTATTATTTCATTATCACTTATCATTAGCTTGTGTTCTCCTAACAGTATGAGATCTGTTCACTCTGCAGTTCTTATTGGATGTAATACTTAGCAGAGTGTTCTTCACAGCTCCTCATTTTAAACATCAAGTATTTATTGATTTTGTTAAACAAGGCTATAGATTAAAATCATTATCATAAACATGTGAAACTACTGTATGTCTCTTTATATGTACTACATCCCTTCAAGAACAGACCTAACAAAGGACAGAAAAGTATTTTCAGTGCTTACAACAGTGGAAACAACGGAGAATTTGAGTGCAGCCATGAAGCTAGCTACTGACAGAGCAAGAAGTAGTATCCAGTGCTACAAAATCCTGGCTGCTGTGCCTACAAAAAGGGGAGCAGTGCAATGAGTGAAAAGAAACAGCAAAGTAACAAAAGATTGCTGTTACTCATCTCTGGTGATGTAAAAAAGGGGTACAACTGAATGTATAAAACAAGAAATTTCCATGCTCATCATTTCAGCTAGTTTTGAGATCAATTCTCTTAAGGACTTTTGGTGCAATTTCTAGAGAAACAGTATTAAAGTAACTGAAGCCTAGACCTTCAAAAACCATTTCACTGAAGAATTTGAGTGGCTGATGAGCAATTTACCAGCCCATTTGTTTACAGTCCACTTAACGTTCAGCAGAAGTACTCCTCAAAGATTCCATTAAGTTTTATAATTACTATTTATTGACTCTCCCGGACCCTTTACGCCCACCCTCATCCATCTCCTGAGTAATTTGTCTTCAAAATGCCTCTTTTTGGATTATGTATTACTCTAATCCATCATCAGAAAGCTGAATTAGTGCAATACATCATAAACTGGCTGCTATTCTATTACTCACTGATGTAACTACCTGACAACATATCTTGAGAATGCTCCAATTTTATATGTAATGCTTGGCCTCACTGTTTCAGTATTTAAAGTTATATTTTTTGAGGATTAAAGCAATAAAGTGTCATTGTGAAAGCATTGTATTCTTGTTGGAAAGATTCACCAGTGATACCAGTGAGAATTTTATATGAATATAGTGAAATTGAAGTTATTTGTATCATGTGCCTTAGAAAAGGCAGATTTTGCCTTAATTCTTTTGCTTTATATTTTTGTTAAATCTTAACTTTGTTTAAATACGGAAATTTCCATGCAACTTGTCTCATTATGCATTTGCATAGAGCCCAGCATGGCTGTTTCAAACCAAAGCATTAAATAGGACAGCATTACAGAGTTATGAGCAAGTATTTACACACACCATTTTGGAGATAAGAATAGTTAAATGGTATAGAGATGGACTGACCACACCAGCTGGCCTAGTTAAAAAATTAAGAGATGGCTATAATTGCTTATGCCTTTTGCTTATTTCTGTGCATATTCCAATATCCTTTGTATTTATATTGCATAGACAAGCAGGATCAATAGGGAACTACCAAAATGCAACATGACTGCAAATGCTTCAAATGAGTGTACTTGTCAATATGGGATGTTTGGATTGGATTCAGCTGGATTTTTTTTTCAGAATTGTTTGATGAGAATCATTATTGTTTCATTACGACCTTATTTAGAAAACTCCACACACAAAGCACATCCACAGTCTGCTGTCTTGAACAAATGAATAATTCAAGTCTGGCATACCTTGACATATATAACTAGCCTGCTATAGGTTATCAATTAAATGTTTGCTTTTCTAGAGACAGCTTTTGTGTCCAACTGTATATCTAACACTGGGTTTTCATAGGATGTATTATTTTGCATTTCACAGTTTTTTTTCCACCTATGTCCAGCAATATAAAATTTAACTTTGGATCCTCTAAAAAGAAAAAGAACACAACAAAGTAACTTGCCATTATTCTTTTTCAGTGTCCTTTTTTTCTTCAGAAATAATAGAATACCTCTAAATTGCAATGATTTTCTATGGTCTGGGAATCAAGCTCCTGAAATGCAATTGACAGACAAGATTTCAGCCAAAGCAAGGCAGTAATCATGGTTTGCCCAAATACAGTAAAACACAGAGAAAATAATATAGACATCTTGATATCATACTGTAGATATTCGTGGTACACTGAAATTTTCTAAGGATACTCAGAGTTCTGTCTGAGTTGTCTACATTTCCCAAGGACCCTTTGTAAAACAGTGTTTGTAACTTAATGATATTGTCTAAATGACTATCACAAAGAAATAAGAACTTGGAGGTTTTGAAGAATAATTGACCTGTCCATGCAAAGGGTATGTCCAACTTTGCACCAGCTAACTGTGTTCTGGATTAGTGCCTTATATGTGAATATTCTCTGTTAACATGTTATTTCTGCACATTGTTCATCGCTGACTTGTAGACATAAAGAACCAAACTTCTAAGTAGGTTCATGTATAGATGGTATCCTGAGCTTCATGATCCTTGAAATCCCTTCCAACCCAAGCCATTCTGTGATTCTGTTTCACTTAAATACACTATTTATTATTCTCCTCCTCAATCAGCTGCAGATAATGGTGAAGAAAAAAATTAACAATTCCAAATGTAAATGTATCCATAGGTTGTGTAATTTCAGTGAGACTCTGAATTAATTTTATTCATGAGGAAAATACCTAAATATCTTGTGGCAAGCTATTATATTAAGCTATACCTTGAGGTGTACTTTCTATATTGCACAGAGTTCATTAA